TTTTGATAAATGAACTGGTAATTATTTCAGTTAACAAAATCTGGCTGTAAGTATGTACGTATATATGGGGTTTTTTAGTCTTTTTTTTTTCCCAGTACTGGGAATCGAACTCACGACATTGCGCTTGCCAGGCAGGTGCTGTGCTGCTTAGCTAAATCCCCAGTCCCTTTTGTCTTTTTTGTTTTTGAGACAGGGTCTCACTTTGCAGTTCAGGCAGGATTTGAGCTCACTTTGTAGTCCAGGCTGGCCTCAATCTCACAACGATCCTCCTGCCTCAGGCTCCCGAGTGCTCGGATTACAGGTGTGAGCTACCACACCCATCATATAATATTTAAAAAAATTTTTTTTGGTAGGGGATGGTACTGGGAATTGAACTCAGGACCTGACACTTGCCAGGCAGGCTCTGTGCTTCAGAGTTAAATTCCCAGCCCCGAAGGTTTAATATTTTATGTAATTAACATGTTGGAAAATTAGCTTGAAATAAAAATTTTTGCAGTGAGTCCCAGGTTTTATAGCATTAACAAACTTAGTATTTCAAGGAAAAGTACAGAAGATGGATCGTTTGTAAAGCAAGTAATAGCCTTGTTGGGTTTGTATTTTTTCAGGTAAACTTTTGAACTGCAGTGTGAGACACAAACACACACAAACATGCATAAAAACAGCAAGGTGCCTACAAAGCTCGTGTGTAGATCACTGAATTTTCACAAAGTGGGCAAACGCATAGTGTCCCGAGATTCCTCTAGAGGTTTTTTTTTTTTATAATGAAATACATGTTCCATATTTCCTGATACCTGGTGCATCAGTTGGTTGAAAAAGCAAATGGTTTTCTCACCTGGAGACATCTGGCAATGTTTTGACACATGTTTTAGTTGTTACAGGAAAGGAGATTTAGTGTAGAGCTGCTATTGGAATCTGGTGTATCGAGGTCAGGACACTATGAAATATCCTACAGGGGACAGGACAGACCCCCACAAAAAAGAATTCTCTGACCCAAATGTCAGTGTTGTAGTGGCTGAGAAACTGCTTGGACAGTTCTCACTCAGTGGGAGAAATGTGAGGCAGTGTTGTTTAACATTAGTTGGTGGTAGGAATGTATTTTTAACTCATCCCTGCTCTGGCTGAAATTCTGCCTCTTCTTCCACTGGCTGCGGCGTATGTTTCCATTTCCTCAAAGCTAGGCCAGCCCTGTGACCGGCTGCTGCGGGGTGAACCCCGATGTAGCTGCAGTGAACCTTGGGTAGGCTGTGCTGGGGAGGAAGGAGGAGCATTGAGCTGTAATCAAGGGCGCGGACACCGCGGTGTCGGGGAGCCGTTCCATGTTGCTGCCGGCCTCTGAAACAGCAGGCACCAAGGAGCAGAGAGACAGCTTTCCCCACAGTGCTTCCGTGAAATCATTTTACAGTCATTTAGTCTCCCAAGAAATTTGCATAAATAGTATCGTTCCACTGGGAAGATACGTGAGACAGACGCTGCAGTGCTGCTCTGTCTCACCACGTTTTGCTTCCTGTGTACTTTTACTGTAGTTGTCACCTACAGCAGTTATTTCCATATTTTGGCCCAGTTGTTTCTTCTTTCATTTCTTTTACAGCTGTTAATTTGAATTCTTCTGTAGTGAAAAGTTGTGTATTCTCCACTATTTACTTGTTAGCTAGGTTTTTTTTTTTAGCTACAATGCTATTGTTCAGGTTACTTCAGTTTTGAGCATGATGAGCTCCTTTAAGACACTTTCCACCAGGCAGTGGTGGTGCACACCCGTATAGTAGGGGGGGGCTGAGGCAGGAGGAGCACAAGCTTTAGCCCAGCCTGGGCGACTTAAAGACTGTGCCCCCACCCAAAACGGAGGTGCCTCCAGAGTGCTTTCGATTTGTGCCTTAGCCCCGCCCTCTGCATGCACACACACACTTAACTTTACGTTTGTGTACTTAGGTTTTGCCTGTGCCAGAGTCAGAATTAGTCATTTCCCTAAGGATGCTTTGTTCCTTCTCTGGAAGGACATTTAGCAACCAGTGTCTGTGCACTAGCTGTGTTTATAGTTACCGTGGTGTCATTGCTTCTAGGCCGGTGCAGTGCCCCATAGATGCAGGATCATGAGCAAGTAAAGTAGTGCGTATTTTCTTTTCTTTTCTTTTTTTGGTTCCAGGAATTGAACTCACGACCTCGTGCTTGCCAGGCAGGCACCTGCACCACTGAGCTATATCCCCGGCCCCAGGTAGTGCTTATTTTCATACGATGTGTTCTGAAATTGTTTTACAGGGTCAGATGAGTAAAACATTGATTTATCACTCAGTATATATTCTTTTTAAATGTAAAGTTAAAAGACATTTAATAGTAATATGGTTTTTCTTAATTATTTGTTACAAAACTTTAAATTGCTTTAATATAGGATCTGACATCTTTCTAGTAGTTACTCTCTCATATTTGCCTTTGTCTCTCTCTCTCTCTCTGGCACGGTACTAGGAGTGGATCCCAGGGCCTTGCTCATGCTAAGCAAGTACCAACCCTGTTCCCATTCCCATCCCCAGCCTCAGTCTCTTAAATACTTGGTATTTTGTATTTTAAAATTATTACATTTAGAACAATATATAAAAATTATTCATATAATCACAGATTTAATTACATTAATAATATTCAGAGTATTTCTTTTTCTTTTTTTTGTCTTTTTGAGACAGGGTCTCACTATGAGGTTGAGGCTGATCTTTAACTTGCAATGATCCTCCTGCCTCAGCCTCCCGAGTGTGGGGATTATAGGCGTGCGCCACCATGCCTGCTGATGTCAAGTATTTTAAAAGTTTGTTGTCTTTGCTGTGTTGACTTAAAAATTCACCTTAAGACAACTTTCATAAATATCTAACTCCAATTTTAATATGTTATGAAATGGTTTTGAGAAGGGACTTTAAAACAAGCTTCAAGGGGCTGGGGATTTAGCTCAGCGGCAAAGTGCCTGCCTGGCAAGCGCAAGGTCGTGAGTTCGGTTCCCGGTACCAGAGAAAAAAAAAAAAAAAAAAACCAAAAAAAACAAAAAAAACAAGCTTCAGCTGAATTTCTTCTATATTTGCAGATTTTGGAAGCATTTGCCAGTCCTCTGATTCACAGGAATATTTTGATGAGGAGGGATATCTCCAGTCTAACAAAATACCAGATAATTCTGGCAAGAGATCAATTTAGGAAAAACCCATCTCCAAATATTGTGGTAGGTATTTTTAAACAAATCTTTATGATTAAATTTTTACTCAGAGCCAGGATAAATGTAATAACTTGTTTACATACTAGAAATGAAGAACTTAGATATAATATATGAATGTATGAAAAAAATCCTAACAAGAATACAGTTTAATGATTTGAATTAAGATACATTTACATTTTAACTTTGGACAAAGAATTGGTTGTTCGGTCCGTTTCTATCTTAGGAAGTCAGAGCCATGAAAAAGTGTATTCTAACTAAATTGAAGATGCCGATCATTTAGTCTCACTCTGGATACCGGAAGTTGGAAGGCGCCTCACAGTAAACGTATTATTTCCATTTTTAAAAAACTCTTTCTTTTTTTTTTTGGTACCGGGAATCAAACTCAGGACCTTGGGCTTGCCAGGCAGGCGCTTGTGCCACTGAGCTATCTCCCCAGCCCATAAAGGTATTATTTCTAATCTTTGTAGGAAAAGGTAGCTGAGTTAACAGATATCCATCAAGCTAGGTCCCAAGTCAGAAGAGATACCCACGAGCACGGGAGGGCACCGAGGCAGGCTCTGAGCCGAGGGCCACGGCTGCGTGAGAGCGGGGCCGTGGGGCGGAGCCCTGTGGGAGACAGTGAGGGGCGGCCTGGCGCAGGTTCAGGGCTGGGGCTGCCGGACGCGGTAAGGAAAGTGTGAGCCCCGGGAGGAGCTTTAAAAGTTACTCCTCGGAATTTGGTCTTTGTCCTGCAGTCTCCGAGGAATGACTGGTGGAGCCTTTTCTGTGAAAGTTCATTGTTCAAAACTTTGTAAGTTTTAATTTCTGTTGTGAATAAAAGGTTGATTAAAATCTTAAATAGTAAATCCATGTATGTTGGACTTCTTATTGTGAGAGTTTATATTTTACAGAGAGGTGGTTGTATCCTTTAGGTAATTAGGATGCCCTCAGGGCGTTTTTTTGCTATTCTGGAAACATTTAAAATGACATCACTTTGGCAGGGGATATAGCTCAGCAGCTCAAGCAAGTATGAGGTCCTGAGTTCAATTCCTGGTCCCCCCACCCGCCCCCCCAAAAAACAGAAAAGAAAATAGTTAAAACATATTCTGAATGGCCTTCTTCTTTGAGATAGTGTCTTGCTCTGCAGTTCAGGCTGGCCTCAGACTCATCGCAATCCTCCTGTCTCAGCCTCTCCAGTGTTGGGATTACAGGCGTGCACCACCATACCAGCTTCCTTTAAAACTGTCTTTTCGTATTGGTACACCTGCCATGTACTTCCTGTGTTCCTCCCAGGGTAACAGTTGAAAGCACGAGGCCTCTTTAGACCAAATGTCCCAAATTTAAATACTGGCTCCACTACTTAGCACCTTTGCGTTGCCCTTCCTTATAAAGTGGGCATAACAATGGTGTCTACCTTCTAGTTATTGAGATGAAATGATTTTGTATAGGTGATGTACTTAGAACAACATCCAGTGCCCAGCGTCAGATAATCAGCTGGGTGGGGAGGTGCGTGGCTGTAATCCGAGGCGCGCCTGAACGCTTAAAAAAAATGGCATATATACTTGGTGTTAAATGTTGGTGTCAGTCCGATTAGATACTTGTCCTGGTGAAATGAGTGAGGATAGGCCCATGTCTGTTTCTTTTCTTTCTTAATGTCTGTCTCTTTCTGCAAAATTCAGGGCCTTTTGCATTGAACCCCAACCTGCATTTAAAAATTTTTTTTCTTTTGAGACATGCTGTCACTAAGTTGCCAGCTTGTTTTGTAGCTGAATATTTAACATACAGTAGGTATTTACTAGTGTTGAAATAACACATGGATCTGTTTACTGCTAATAATTTACCTATAAAGAGTATATGATAAATGTTTCTCTTTTTTTTTAAAGTGGGAATTTCCTGTTGAATTAAAGAAAAGTGAAGTAAAGGGATAGATTTCATATGGAAAGAGCATTGGCACCTTTCCATGGAACATACTGTAACATTTACATTCAGTAGAATCAGTGAGCTGTGTTCAGAATGGAAGGGAGTAGTTATGATCATTTGAATTATATTGTAAATGTTACAGTCATTTGGCCTGACAGCTGGGTCATGGAGGATGTATATTTCTTTCTTTGGTTAAGTTTGACGTATGCTTCTTTTCCTAGGGAATACAACAAGGCATAATTGAGGGAGAGTTTGCAATTTGTATTAGTTTATATCATGGTTATGAATTATTGCAGCAAATGGGAATGAGATCATTGTATTCCTTCCTTTCTGGAATTATGGATGGAACAAAAGGTAAATTATGTGAAATTATTTAAAGAGATAATGACAAGTATTATTTTAAAAAGACATTGAATGTACTGAGTTTGAGTTAATTAAAAATATTTATTTCAATTAAAAATATTTTTAAAAGCAGTGAAATAATTATGTAACTAATGGCCATGTTTCTTTGTCTTTGATAAACTACTAGGAAAAAGAAAGTCAGTCATTAATACATATGTGCATGTGGATTTCATGTTTAAATTTGAGAAATCTGCATTTATATTGTCACAGTTTAATTTCTTTTTAATAAGTAATAAATTTGATAAGATTTGGTGTAAATTTTATTTCTAAAACCTTTTCTTAATTCCTGAAGGGATGACACGGGCAAAAAATGAACTTTGCAGAAATGATGACTTTGTGAAACTCTATCATCATCTAGAAAGCATGTTTGCGCACACGTGTAATACTTCAGCTGAAACTTCTGCTGTCCACAGAGGTCTGATTTTTCATGTAAAATTATATATTGCTTTAACCAGGTGTGGTGGCATGTTCTTGTAGTTACTCAGGAGATTGGAGCAGGAAAATTGCTTGAACTTAGGAATTTGAGGCCAGCCTAGGCACCATAGCAAGATGCTCAAAAAGCATAAATAAAAAAAATATTAAATTATATATTAGTTTCCTTCTTTCTTTCTCTTTCTCCCTTCTTCCCTTCCTCCTTATTTCTCCTTTTCTCCCTTTCTCCCTTTTTTTCTCTCTCTCTTTCTTTCTTTTTTTACAGGGTCTTGCTGTGTAGTCCAGGCTGGCCTTAAACTCAGTGTGTAACCTGGGCAGGCCTTGAACTCAAGGCAATCCTCTTGCCTCAGCCCCCCAAGGAATTAGTTTTCGTTACTAAGATTAATTTTGGAATTTTATTCCATTGCGTATATAGTTAACATTTTTGTAGTAACAGGTCTGTTAAATGCTTGAAGAGTTTATCTGAGTGGAAAATATACATTCAAGTTAACCTTTATAAAATTTAAATATATAATAGGTATTATGGTTACTAGTGGTGAAATCGATCTTCAATTTATATATATTTTTTGATCTTCAATTCAAATATATTTTATTAATTTAAATATATTTTTTCCCTTTTGCTTTGTTTCTGATTTCTGTTTGGATTCTTTTGCAGATTAAGATTTTCATAAAAAAGTGGTTTTTTAATCTAGATGCTATTTATTATTTATAAAAATAAAAAGTAAGTTTTAACATGTATATTTTGAAAAGGATAAGAATATATATTAATGTAATTGAATATGGAAAAATATAGTTTTTTGCTGTTTCTTTTTCTTCAGGAGATAAAGATAAAAATATTTTCTATAGTCATCCAAAATTAAAGAAATTAGAAGAAGTTGTAGTCGAACATTTCCAGTCGTGGAATGGTAGGTAATATTTAGTAGCTTCAAAGCAAGATAGTTAATGGAAGAGGTAAAACTTTAACTCATTAGTCTGTGCTAACACTTGTGGAGAAAATATGGGATTTCCATTATTCTGGGTAATGACTAAGCAAAGCTCTGAGCAGTTTTAGAAGGGTTATCACAAAGACAGTGGTGGGAAGGTTATGTGGAAAAAAGTCTGGGGAAATACTGGGAAAGTGGCCGTGAGCCAGTACGCGGTATTAGTGCAGGGGAAAGTAAAGCAGATAGGAAGAGAGCGAGTCGTGGAGGAGCGTTGCAGGTAGGGCGGCCAGCGAAGGCCTGTCTCCAGAGGTAACTGATGCAACTGTGGGGACGAAACACGTGGACCTTGGAGGGAGAATCCTTCCAGCCAGAGGGAATAGCAGATTCAAAGGCCCTGTGGCAGTTAGGTACCTGATGGGACTATAGATCAGTAAACAGGCATAAAGGAGGATAAGGGTGGTTTAAGTGAGACATAGCCCGATCTCAGATCATGTAGGTTTGTAGGCCAAGTCAAAACTTGGTTTTCAATCTATGAATGTTGTATTTTGGGACAGCCTTACCAGAGGCAAAGAACAGTGTAGGCTTAAGTATGTGGGGTAATATATATGTTAATTAGCTTGATTTAACCATTCCACAATGTGTGTGCATGCCATGTTGGAACCATGTATGTGTATAATTTTTGTCAATTAACAACATGAAGAAAGCGCATGTATTAAGAAGGTTGGAGACATCCAGGTGGAGATGTCAAGTGAGCCTTGGACAGGTGACCGGAGTTGGAAAGGAGTGGCTGGGCCAGTTTTATATGTTTGCGTGCACAGGAACAAAGTTTGGAGTTCTCAGCATAAAGTTAGTGTTTAAGGTTTCAGGAATGGCCGTGCTCAGCAGCAGGAGGGTGTGGAGAAGAGGAGCCAGGTCGGCACCCTGAAAGAGTCGACGTTTAAGGTTAGAGGAGAAAAGGCCCGGATGTGCTTGAGAAGGAAGCCAGTGAGGCGTGGGAGAAGCCGAGGGAAGAGACTAGTCCCGGAACAGAGCGGGGCGGAGTGAAAGTCCGCGGAGGCGCGTGCGCAGATGGACTAACGAGTATGTGGAATTTGGCAGTGCGGAAACGATAGGCGGTGGTGGTGGGAGCTCAGCAGAATGGAGGAGGAAAGGCGCGGTCCGGCAGGTTGGAGAGTGGAAGTTGGTCCGAGGCAGCGGCTCGAGGCGGGGATAGGTCACAGGAAGCCTGTCTAGGACAGCGGGGCGGACCCAGGGCGCGCGTCGCATCGGGCTGTTTGCCAAGACTGAAAAAATTTCTAGCAGGTTCACCGTTACTGGTCCAGGATGATTTTGCTTTATAGAGCTGCTTCTTTTAAGTCCTTTTTTTTTTTCTTTTTTTTTTTGATTTTGCTTTATAGAGCTGCTTCTTTTAAGTCCTTTTTTTTTTTTTTGCTTATTGCTTAGTGTATTTTGAATTCGCTTGTTTTGTGGGTTACTTTGTATGTTTTAATGTACTCCATGGGGTTGTAAGCATTAAATAAGTAATGTATAAAATACTCAGTGTAGTCCCTGTACACGTTCTGATGAGTAAGATACAGTATAAATCGTAAGAAAGGATTGTCCAAGTCCCAACCCAGCTTAAAAACATGAGGAAACATTAACAAGCAAAATACCTACCCAGCTTGCAATTAACTGTGCGCAAGCACTGTTTTCTCTTTTCTGTTTCGTTTAATCATCCGTCCATTTTAGGTAACTAAGGTTTACAGAGATTTAATAGTTGCCGCGATCACGTTACCCAGAGCGCAAGTGTGGCTCGGCCAGGAAGATCATGGCTTTTTCATTTGTTTCTGTCGTTCTTTTGTTTTGTAGTGATAAGGATCCAACCCGGCCCCTGGGCTCCATCCCCAGTCCTCTCCTGTCTTTTCTGAGACAGGGTCTCACTATGCAGTTCAGGCTGGCCTTGACCTCACTTTGTAGCCCAGGCTGGTCTCAAACTTGTAATGATCCTCCTGCCTCAGCCTCCCGAGTACTGGGATTGCAGGCATGCGCCACAGTGCTGGGGTTACAGGTGTGCACCACCACGCCTGGCTCTTCTCCTGTTTTTATTAGTGCTTTCTGCTGCCTCCCAGGCACAGCGACTCGGGGACAGCTTGCTACTGACTAGAGCGTATCCCTGGAGGACCTGACAGTATAGCAGACTTGGGATACACAGCTCTGGTTAAAGCAGTGCGTGTAGTGAGCAGGAAGGAAAGATTTATGAAATCCGCGGAGGCTCTGTAGTTCTGCGTTTCTGTCCGGAGGCTCACGGGGAAGAGAGGCCTCATGCTTGAATCGAAGGGCTGTTCAGAGTGCTTTTTTTAGGAATCCTTATTTGAATTGTTTAGGACTTGATGATAGCAGGTGAGAAATAAGGAGCCAAGATTATTAAACTACTAGAGAATGTTAAAAAAGTAATTTTAAATAAGTCTTGGACCAGGGGTATAGCTCAGTAGTCTGGACCTTGTTTAGCATCTTTGAGGCTCTGTTCTTGATCTACAGCACTGAGCCAAAAAAGTCTTAAAATATGTTTTTTAAAGAATTATTGTTCATTCATAGAGTTTTAGATTTGTGTTTTGAACTAGTTCTTGTCGAAATGCTTTATTTCTAAAAATTTTATTGGTACATATTTGTGGTCCAGTGCCCGCATTTATAGTCGTCTTGGGGATTGGTACAGGTACGTAATACATGATTGTTTTCAAGTAATACTTCAAATATTTTCTGTTATGTAGCTCAGAAAACTACTGAAAACAAACGTGCTGAGACCAGAGTGATGATCTTCTCTTCATTTCGCGATAGTGTTCAAGAAATTGCAGGAATGCTTTTGAAACACAAGCCAGTTATTAGAGTGATGACTTTCGTTGGCCACGCTTCGGGGAAAGGCATGAAAGGCTTTACGCAGAAGGAGCAACTAGAGGTAATTACTGCTAAAGACAGTGAAATAAAAATGAAACTGATGAGCTTTGTAGTTACGCTTCTTTGTTCTAGCTCACTGGCCAGTTGGGCATTTAAAAGCAATTTCGGCTGGGTATGGTGGTACATATCTGTAATCCCAGCCCTCGGGAGGCTGAGGCTGAGGCAGGAGGGTCAGCACGAGTTTGAGGCCAGCTTGGGCTACGTAGTGAGTTGAAGGCCAGCCTGAACTACACAGTGAGAGCCTGTCTCAAGGAAAAAAAAGTGATTGTGTGGTAAACTTGAAAATAAAGGTAAACATATTTTGAAAGACCAAGTGAATGTTTTAAGCAGTTTTGAAACTTGCTTATAAGTAAAGTATAATGTTTTATGGTGGTTTTGAAACATTTATTTTTAAGTACTGTAAAGTGTAATGGTTAAGCAGAAATGCTTTAGTCACACATCTTCGTGTAGAACCCACTGAGAAATTATTCCTTGTCTTTCAGTTTTTGTTATTTATAAACATACTTCATGGTTGTAAGCAATAAATGAGATATTATTGTACAGCCAGGCATAAATGTATACATGTATGTATGGGTTTGAGACAGGGTCTCACTTTGTAGTCCCAGCTGGCCTTAGACTTAATGTGAAGCCCCGGCTGGCTTTGAAGCTGTGGCAAGCCTCTTGCCTCAGCCTTCCGAGTGCTGGGATTACAGGTGTGCGCCACTCTGCCTGGCATGTGTGGTTTATTTAAGTCTCTTTTATAATTTCTTCTAAAAAATAATTTATGTTTTTTGGTTATTTAAAAATCTTACTTTAAAGGTACGATCGGAAGAAGCCATGGTGATATTTAAGGTAGTACCATGCTCTGTGATGTTTTGAGGGGGAAATTTTACATTAATATTTTTATAAACAGTTCTGTAGGCTTTTGCAGATTAATTGCCAAAGGATGTGTCTTTAGTGTCTCATTCATTTGACGGGGCTTTCTTAATTCTGCATATTCGATGAAGAATTCCAATCTTTAAAAGCCTGGGCATAGTAGTGCATGCCCTCAATTCTAGCACTTGGAAGGCTGAGGCAGGAGGATGCGGAGTTCTAGGCCAGCTTGGGCTGCATGTGTGTTTGAGACTTGCCTGGACTACATAGTGTGACGATGTCTCAGCCTGCTTCTCCGTACCCTTTTTAGTAGTCCTCGCTGCACTCAGAAGAGTCTGTTTGAGCTGACCTGACAGGGTGTGAAGACTTCCTGAGTTTGAAGATAACACCTTTATCCATTGTCAAACCGTACCATAAGTTCTGTAAGGAGTTCAGGAACCTAGTGACTGTTAGTATGCTTAACCTTTGTACATGAATGAGAAGTGAAATGCATTTTTGCCTTAGGGGTCAAGAATTTTCTGTATTTGAGACACAATAGCTGGTACTTTAGAAGACCCACAATACCTAACCCACCCTGGCCGCTTGTGGTGGTGGTGGTGGTGGTGGTGCTGGGTTTTTTTTTCTTTTTCTGTTTTTTGAGACAGGATCTCACAATGCGGTTCAGGCTGGCCTTGAACTTACTGTGTAGCCCAGGCTGGCCTTGTGCTCTCTGTGATCGTCCTGCCTCAGCCTCCTAAGTGCTGGGATTACAAGTCTGTGCACCATGCCTGGCCTCTGCCACTTTTGATATTTTGTAGTCATTATTTCCTCAGCTTGTTAGGCATCATGGGAAATATTACGAGGACTGGGACATAGTAGAGCCGGTAGAGCACTTGCTGAGGATCTTCATCATCACCACACAAAAAAAATCTTACTGATTTTATTACCTTTGTCACTTACTCATTTCTATCCATTTCTTTTGTGGTGCTGGGGAACAAACCCTAGGCCTTGCGTGTGCCTGAAAACGCTCCCATTGAGCTGCGCCCTTACCCCTCAGTAATGTTTTTGTGTAGGCCGGTGATGGAGAATCTTTTAGAGACCGAGCGCCCAAACTACAACCCCAAAGCCACTTATTTGTTCTGAAGCGGCCACACTGTGAGTACCCCTGAATGCCCACTGCTGGCTGCTGGGGTGGCTTGGCCCTGTCTCTGCTATGGCCCATGCGCCATAGGTTGTTCCCACCTCTGGACTGCAGGCCAAAGTAACCACCTTTCAAAAGTCACTGTCATTCACAGTTACATTTATAACAGCTGTTTCATTCCGAAATGAGCTTTCGTGCACATAGTTCTTTAGTTATCCACTTACTTAGAAATAGGAGGTAAAGTCAAGCAGTTAATGGAGAGGCAGGTCTTTGAGTGCCCTGTCAGTTCTCTTTTAATGACTGAGGGATATAAGAAGTCATTGGGAGGTTTGGAGCAGAGGAAGGTCTGTTTGTTTGTTTTTATTGTTGTTGTTTGAGAGAGGGCCTCACTGTATAGTTTAGGCTGGTGTTGAACTCACTGTGTAGCCCAGGCTGTCCTTGAACTTGTGGTGCTGCTCCTGCCTCAGCCTCCCGAGTGCTGGGATTACAGGACTGCACCACCATGCCTGGCCTAGGAAGGTCATTTTAAAAGAATCACTGGTGGAAGCTGGGGGACGAGTTGGCAGACTTATCAGAGTTCAAACGTGGATTAGATTAGATGGTGGATTAGACCGGAATTACAGCAGCGAGGTTTGTGAGAAATAGTTCTGGGTGTATTTTGGTGGTCATGCTGACAAGATTTATGGTAAATTCAGTGAAATGTGAGATAAAGGAGCATGAAGTGTGACCTCAAGATGTTTGGCCTGAGCAGCTTCGAGAAGCTTCTGTCGACTAAGGTGGAGAAGGCTGCAGGAAAAGGTTTTGGAGAGAGTGTTTGGAGCTTGGTTTTTTGAGAAGTTATCTTTGACAGACCTTTTAGATTAATGCATTTCACATTTCAGAACTGTGGGGTACCAGTTCATTTCTCCCCACTAATCACTGAGTGATGCCTTTGAACCATATATCAAAAATGAATTTTTAGTAGCTAGGTATGGTGGTGCACGCCTGTACCCAGCACCTAGGAGGCTGAGGCGGGATGATTGTGAGTCCAAGGCCAGTTTGGGATGCATCGTGAGAGAACGCTCCACCCTTAAAAAATAAGAATTACTAGAAAAGTAGAACTATTGAAAATCAGTTCATTGCTTTTCTTAAAAATTATTTTAGAGTCCACCAATACAAACTTCCCCTCTCAAGTTTCTAAACCTTTACATTCAATTTCACAGTTTACATTTTATATCTCAAGTACTGTGGCCCAGGTTTTACCTTTATCTAGGACTTTTTTTTTAAAGTTATATGCAGGTAATATTAAGTCAGTCTTTCCTTGGCTTAATGTCATTACAGATTCCAAAAGGAAATGAAGTATTCTTAACCTTTAATCCTGTTGATTGGCTCTCCCTGTACTGAGGTTTACCATATTGAAGTAGTATCCTTTGACTGTTGGTACTGGAAAGGTTTCTAAGAGGACCTATATGATAAGGTTGTACTTATTTTCCTACTTTTCAAATTGTTATTTTTAACAGAATTAGCTTAAGGATTGGGATAATAGGTTTTTTGAGTCAAACAGATCTAACTTCAAATGCTGACAATTATCAGTGAGACGTTAGGTAAAAATAGTTTAACCTCGCTGATCTTCAGTTTCTTTAGTAAAATACAGTGGCAGGAGTAGCTACCTCAGTGGTGTTGGGAGTAGCAGCTAATAGATAAGCACTTACGGTTAGTGCCTGGCGTGTAATGTACCCATTTATATTGCAGCGATCCCTATTGTTATCATAGAACTCAGCTTTTGATGTCGTGTTTCACATTACCACCAGTACCGCTCCGTCCTGCTTCACCCAGCCCCAGGGGTGTTGAGGTGCATGGGGAAACTGAGGCTCACCGCAGTTCAGGACTGAAGTTTGGAAGGCTCACAGAAGTTTTTCCCAATGTTTGGTTGACTTTTCATTAACTCATTCTCATGCTACTGTAGTTTCACTAAACTGCTCAAAGAGAAAGCCTGCAATGGCAGTATGAAAGGTATGATAGAAACTCTGGGAGTGATGAAACAGTGTATTTCAGACCCTGGTAGCCGTCTATGAAGATCCAAGGTATGATAAGTAGGAGTACTCCGCTAGGCCCTTTACCTCCCCTCTGCCCCCGTCAGTGGTGCTAAATATAAAATCAGTGCTTTCTCATGGACCGGGACATGGTGAAATTATTGATGAATCCTTTTAGTGTCGCAAACATTATCACAGGAATTAGACTGGTCTTCCCATTTAAGTATAATCTCTTTCGGCTTAGGTTTCCCATTTGTGACTCTTTCCTTCTTCTGTGGTATCCTTAAGGCTGATGTTTAATCTGATTGCTCGTTTGGGGTGAGTGGGAGCAGTGTACCGTACTTCTCCTAATTTACCCGTCGTGATTTTTAAGTGGTCTCCATTTCAGGTGGTGAAGCGATTTCGTGATGGTGGCTACAACACACTGGTTTCCACCTGCGTCGGGGAGGAAGGTCTGGACATCGGGGAAGTGGATCTCATCATATGCTTCGATGCCCAGAAGAGCCCCATCCGACTAATACAACGAATGGGTAGAACCGGGCGGAAGCGTCAGGGCAGGATCGTTGTTGTCCTTGCTGAAGGGCGGGAGGAACGTGTAAGTAGCCTTTAGAAACAGAAACGTGATTTGACAGTAAAATTTGAGAAACGCAGGCTAAAGACAACTAAGAATATTAGAGCATTTCAAGTCCACTTTTAGGTAATTGTGGTTTATTTTGTATGAGATTTCTCTCTCCCCTCCTCCTCTTCCTCCTTCCTTCTCTTTTTCCAGTACTGGCAGTTGATCCCAGGGCCTTTGCACTGAGCTGTGTCTCCGGGGCTTTGTCCTTCTTTTGAGACTGGGATTCTGTCAGTCACTTAGTCGCTCAGACTGGACTCGAATTTGTGATTCTGTGGCCCCAGCCATGGTGGTGCACATGTGTAATCCCAGCACTCGGGGACTTTGAGATTCTCACAATAGAAAAGAAAAAAAGGCCTGGGGATGTAGCTCAGTGCAAAGGCTCAGGGTTCACTTTCCAGTACCACTAAAAAGAAAAAGAAATAATAATTTTTGACTGGATTTAGTGTCCTAATTTTTATCCATATAAAGAAGCACATCATAATGCTTCAGGACTAATTCAGAGAAACCTAGATGCAATAACCAGCAAGTATTGTTTTTTTTTTTTTAAACTATTTCCCTATGCTTCTAAGACTTGCTTTTTAAAAATGTTTTTATTACTTATGTATTTACGGTGCTTGGGATTGAGCCCAGGCCCTCTGCACTGAACTAAATCCTCAGCCCTTTTTTTTATTTTGAGACTGCATCTTACTAAGTCACTGCATTGAGCAGGTTGGGCGCAAACTTGTGACCCTCCTGCCACAGGCTCCCACAGTGCTGAGGTGACAGGCATGTGTCACCACGCTTGGGATAAGACTTGGTCTTTCTGTTTAGTGTGAGTTTCTGTAAACGATAGAAAGCAGAGAGTAAGTAACCAAGTAAACTAACGAATATGCCCCAGGGATGCTATGTGACCTGCAAACCTAAAATACTGTACTTCTTTTCTGATCCTTTATTGAAGTGTGTTGATGTCTATTCTGAGTGACAGGGAACTAGAATTCTTTCATATTTTACTATAATCTCGGGTGACAGAACTTTCTAAATATAATATTTTGCATAATGTTTTGTATTTACTACACTGAAGTGTTAGCTTTTAGAACTCATTGGGATGAATAGAGTGGACAGATATATAGTTTCACATTAAAGGTCCTCTTGTTAGAAATTGATTTGAAATGTTTTGTATACCCTTTAAAAGCAAATGATCTGTTTTTTTCTTTTTCTTGGTGGTGGTACTAGGGACTGACTCCAAGGCCTTTGCAATGAGCTATGACTGAGCTATAGCCCAGTCTTTGTGTGGTTTTTTATTTTGAGACAAGTTCTCTTTGCTTGGGCTGGACTGAGTTTTGATCCTCCTGCCTCAGCCTCAGCCTCCAGAGAACTGGGATTCCAGGTATGCACTATGATGCCTGGCAAAGAATGAATTCTTTTCCTACACTTGCCGTGTGATCATAACCTACTCATGTGTAACACACCATTTATCCATAAAATGATTCCAATAAGTGAAATGTGTGGTAGCCATATATTACCAACAAATATTACTGAGTTCAGACTAATTATTTGGCCAAGATCTTTTATTTGTAAAGTAACAATAATGACTCACTCTGTGCAGTGTTTTAAGTGCTTCAGATGCTTTATTTAACTTAGTCAATACCTTGTAAGGATAATAATGCTTTGTTGTATACAGTGAAAAAGTACAAGCATAGCGAGATGAGGAAATTGAAATAAGAAAGTAGTTTTAAAAAGAGCAACTTTATTTCAGCCGGACACTTGCCTGTAATCCCTGGAATCTAGGAGGCGGAGGCAGGAGAATCACAAGTTTGATCCAGCCTGGGCAATTTAGTGAGATCTTCTCTTAGTATAAAAAAATTTTAAAATGCCGGGGCTGTAGCTCAGTGTGGAGGTGCTGTGTTCAATCCCAGTACTACACAAAAAGAAAAAAAAGAAAAACACAAAAACTTTATGCTTATATGACTTATACACTTGTGTGTAAGTGTCAGCGTTATTCAAGACCAGCAAGGGAATAAATAAAAAATAGATTTCCTTTGTGCAGTATAGTTGCTAAGACAAACTTTTATAATAGATTTAAAAATGGCTTTTTATCAAAGGTTTATCTAACAGTTCACTTTTTAAAAAAATTCAAAACAATAGGAATTCTATTCTCTAAGCACGTAAGTGAATTGGTTTGATTTTCTGTTTATAGTAAACCCAAATTTATACAATAATTGCTTTTTATGACTGAATGATAATTATAGAAATAACATAATTGGAGATTTTATATTTGTTTTTGTAGACTTATAATCAGAGTCAGTCCAACAAGAGAAATATTTATAAAGCTATTTCAGGTAGCAAACAAGTTCTTCGTTTTTACCAAAGAAGTCCACGGATGGTTCCTGCTGGCATCAATCCGGAACTGCACAAAATGTTTATCACGCACGGCGTCTATGAGCCCGAGAAGCCTTCTCGGAACGCGAAGCGGAAGTCTTCTCTCTTTCCCTCTAGGAATGGTATGTAAACAAGTTTGCATTTTACGCACTTTCTTCTCCTGCTCTTAGTTGGCAGATCGTAACTTGCTATATTTCTGCTTTGCAAACCTCAGTATATGTTCTAAGATGTTTTGGGTGCTGTCTTTGTGTTTATTTTTTATTTATTTATTTTTTTGGTACTGTCTTTGGAAAGATAAGAATTGTTCTTGTAGCAAAAGGAAGGAGATACTGTCAGCCCAGGAGTTAGAAACCGCTGTGTTAGCTGGGGCAGGCCCGTAGTAGCTACTCAGAGGCTGAAGCAGGAGGATGGAAAGTTTGAAGCCAGCCTGGGCAGCAGCTGAAATCCTGTCTCAAAACTAAAAAGGCTGAGGGTATAGCTCAGTGATAGGATGCCCTTGGGTTCAGTCCCCAGAAGACACACACACCCACACTCTCCCCCACCTCCCTGTGGAAGAAGGAGTTCCAGACAAACGAAACAGAAACCTTCCTGTTGGGGAAAATTGAAGATAGCCTACCAAGCCAGAGGAAGGAGGGAGGAAGGAGGCAGGAATGGATTTGTTTGTTCGTTGGCTTGTGACCGGGGACTGCACCGACTCGAATCCCCAGTCTGTTTTTTGATGCTGAGACAGGGCCTGGCCGTGTCACTGAGTTGCCCAGGCTCAAGCATGTGGTCCGCATGCCTCAGCTCTCTAATGCGTGGGGTTAGAGATCTGCGCCACCAAACTGGCCTTGCTCTCTGTTTTTTTTTCCCCTCTCTCTTTTTTTTAATGGTGCTGAGGATTGAACCCTGGGCTTCTGCCCTAAGTTACATCTTCAGCCTTTTAAAAAACATTTGAGAGGCTCACTGAGTTGCTTGAGCCAAGCTCACAGTCCTCTTGCTCCAGCCTCCTGAGCAGCAGGGGTTCTTAGCATAGAACACACACCTGCCTGCACTTTGCTCCTACTGCTCTTTCATTTTCCCAGCGCCTGTGGTTATTCTCGCCAAGGCTACCTGTATATATGTTTCGTACATGCTTTACTTTTTTAGGAGGAAGGCTGGGGGTTAAACCCAGGGTCTTTGCACTGAGATCTGGAAAAAGGGCCTGGGAGATGATTTAATTCAAACCTGTAGGTGAAGAAATACATGCATTTTTTTAAAAGTTTCTTACACAGTAATTGGGAATAGTTGAGACAGAAGTTTCCTAGTTCCTCTTTTAAAATTTGGAAATAAAAAATTTCATTTTACTAAAATGTTTTGATGAGCATATTCTCTCTTTCTCTCTTTTTTCTTTTTTTTTTGGTACTGGGAATTGAACTCAGGACCTTGTGCTTACCCAGCAAGGCACTGTGCCGCTGAGCTATATCCCCGGCCCATATTCTCTTTTTTTGAATCAGATTTTACTGGTGTATGTCAGGTATGTGTAACTATCACATGCGCCATAGAGAATTTGCACCTGTACATGATGTAACTTTTTTCCCCACTTCCCTAGCCTCCCTTCAACCCCTCCTCCCCTCCCCATTTACAAAAGCTTTCTTTCAGTGTTTTCTTTCTTTTCTCTCTCTTTTTTTTTTTTTTTAACTTTTCCCTTCCTTCCTTCTCCCTCCCTCTCCCTTGTTTGATGAGTATCTTCTTGTGAGACATAAGCATT